TCATGACAAACGGAAGAAAGACTGAAGCTATCAAGGATTTCATTTTACTTAGATTCATAATCAATGACCACAGAAGCAGCAGCCAAGAAATCAAACAACATTACATTGGGCAAATCTACTGTAAAAGACATCTTAAAAGTATTAAAGATCAAAGATGTCACCTTTAAGATTAAGGTGTGTTTGACCCAAGCCATAGTATTTTCAATAGCCTCATATGATGTCTTGAGAGCTGGACAATGAACAAAGAAAACTGCAGAAAACCTGATGCATTTGAATTGTGGTGCTGGTAAAGAATATTGAGGAGCTCTGGTAGCATAGTGCCTAAGGTACTTGACTGCTAACCAGAAGGCTGGTGGTTCAAACCCACCAGCCACTTCTCAGAAGGAAGGTTGGGCAACCTACTTCTGTAGGGATACTGCCTCGGAAACCCAAGGAGGGGTCGCTATGAGTTGGGTCTGACTCGACGGCACCTAACAACAACAACAACAACAAAGAATACTGAATGTACCATGCACGGACTGCCAGAGAAATAAACAAATCTGTCTTGGCAGAAGTACAGCCAGAATGCTACTTAGAAGCAAGAATGACCAGACTTCATCTCTTGTACTTTGGTTATGCTGTCAGAAGGGAATCATGCTTGGTAAAATGGAGAGTCAGTGAAAAAGGGGAAGACCCTCAACAAGATGGACTGACACAATGGCTGCAATGATGGGCTCAGGCATGGCAACTATTGTGAGGATGGCACAGGACTGGAAAGTGTTTCATTCTATTGTGCATGGGGTCATTATGAGTTTGTGAAGGTACCTAATAAAAACAACGTTACCTCAGTATCTAAAACCCTATGTAATCAGGTATGTCTAGGCAGGGGGTAGTGTGCCCATGACCATGCATAGGGTTGGCAGACAATGTTTCTACAAGTGTATTTGTATGTGCTGTAAGAACGTCCAGGTGTATAGCAGAATTGACAAGGGACAAGGTTGTGGTGACTCCTTGGCCACAGCCAGCTACTCAGAGGGAGCACGTAGTTTGACTATGGTCATAGGAGACATCAAGCTCAACTGGTACATGGTGGCTGCGATGACGGATTCAAGTATAGCAAGGATCATGGAGCTGGCGCAGGATCGAGCGGTGTTTTGTTCTGCTGTGCACAGGGTTGCTATGAGTCAGAAACGACTTGACGGCACCTAATAACAACAACAACTACACAAAAACATTGGTCTATATCCTACTTTAGTGAGTAGCAACTGGGGTCTTAAAAGCTTCCAAGCAACCATCTAGATGCAATGATGGGTCTTTCCTTATCCAGAGTAAAGAAGAATGAAGAAAACCAAAGACACGTGGAAACAATTAGTCCAAGGGACTCGTAGACCATGCGATCCTCAGCCTATATGACCATGAGCCCAGAAGAACTAGATGGTGCCCAGCTACCGCTGTCAACCACTCAGAAGGGGATCTACACAGATTTTGGAGAGTAGGAGAACAATGTGGAACAAAACCCAAAATCATAAAAAGACCACGTTTGCTGATCTGATGGAGCCTGGTGAGACCCGAGACTATGGCACCTAGCTACTCTTCAGGTCTGGAATTGAACTCACTCCTGTGGCTTCTCATCAAATAATAGACAGGCATATGGGCTGAACATTTATACCAGGTAGATACACTATTTGGAGTGATCAATCATGGGAGAACAGAAGGGCAGTGTTTGCACAGGGAAACAGCTCGAGGGGGCAGGAACACATGGGAGGGAAGGACACAGAGAAGAGGGAACTATGAGGAGTAAGTGGGAAGACAACTGTTACACTACGGGGGATTTGCAGTCAATGTCATGAGATAAAATGTGTATGAACTGCTGTATGGAAAATGAATTTGTTCTGTAAACTTTCACCCAATCACAATACAAATTTTAAAAAGTACAAGGCAAGAAAGGCAAAAGGCAAGAAGAAATACAATCTGAAGAGAAAAAGCAATCATCAGAACCAGACTCAGATATAACACAGATGTTAGAACTATCAGACTAGACATTTCATGATTAGTAAGTTAAAGTGCTAATGGAAAAAGTAGACAACATGTAAGATCAAATGGTTAATTTCAACAAAGAGAGGGAAGCCATAAAACAGAAAGAAATGGAAATGCTAGAAATAAAAATAACACAGTAGAGGGATGGACACAGGGAAGAGGTAATTATGAGGAGGAAGTGGGAGGGGAGCTGCTGCATTGTGGTAAATTGTGGTCAATGTCATAAGACAAAGTGTATGTGAACTGCTGTATGGAAAATGAATTTGCTCTGTATATTTTTACCCAAATCACAATAAAATAAGTAAATAAATAAAAATAACACAGTAACAGAAACAAAGACTACTTTTGAAATGGCTTATCAGTAGACCTGATAGCAACTAGGAAAGGATCAGTGAACTTGAAAATAGAACAAAAGAAATTATATAAACTGAAAATACAAAGAGGAAAAAATGTAAAGAACAAAATAGAGCATCCATGAGCCATGGGACAATATCACATTGTTGTTGTTAGGTGCCGTCGAGTGGTCTCCAACTCATAGAGACCCTATACAGAGCAGAACAAAACACTGTCTGGTCCTGTGCCAGCCCAATGATCCCTGCTATACCTGAGCCACTGCTGTAGCCACTGAGTCAATCCATCTCACCAAGGGTCTTCCCCTTTGTCACTGACCCTCCACTTTACCAAGCATGATATCCTTCTCCAGGGAATGGTCCCTTCTGACAACATGACCAAAGTAGGTGAGACGAAGTCTGGCCATTCTCGCTTCCAAGGAGCATTCTGGCTGCACTTCCTCCAGGACAGATCTGTTAGTTCTTTTAGCAGGCCATGGTTGTTTCAGCATTCTTCACCAACATCACAACTCAAAAACATCAATTCTTCTTCGTTCTTCCTTATTCACTGTCCAGCTCTCATATTTGTAAGAGGCAACTGAAAATACCACAGCTTGTGTCAGGCGTGCCTTAGTCTTCAAGGAAATACCTTTGCTCTTCACTTAAAAGTTAGAGGTCTTTTGCAGCAGATTTGCCCAATGCTATATGTCATCTGATACCTTGACTGCTGCTTCTATTGGTGTTGACTGTTGTTACGTACCATCGAGTCAGACCCGACTCACAGCGACCCATCCTTGGGTTTCTAAGGTGGTATCACTATGGAAGTAGATTGCCCAACCTACCTTCCAAGGAGTGGCTGGTGGGTTTGAACTGCCAGCCTTCTGGTTAGCAGTCAAGTGCCTTATTAGAACCAAGTAATACAAAGTCTTTGACAACTTCAATCTTTTCTCCATTTACCATCATGCTGCTTATTGGTCCAGTTTTGAGGATTCTGTTTTCTTTATATTGAGGTATAATATACAAAACAATAAATAAATGTAACTGGAATCCCAGAAGGACAGAGAGAGAATGGAACCAAAGAAATATCTGGAGAAATAATGGTGAAAATTTTATAGATTAAAAAACATAATAATCAAAAATATAAAAATAAATGATTATGTTTAAATCTTTGGAGTGAAGAATTCTTAAACAAGATAGCACCTTAGCACCTCAATAAAAAAGGTGAATACATCATAGTTTAAATTCTATGTAAGAAAAGAGATACAAAAAACAAACAAACAGAGATACCACAAATAATTCTGACAAAGGATATAAGAAAATGCTTGCAACATCTATAACAGAATCAAGAATGAGGAGAATGCATCCTAAAAATGTAAGAGAAAATGACAACCAATTAGAAAAATGGGCAAAGGCACTACTATAATGTAAGCTCCACATGGGTTGGAATTGTTGTGTTTTCTTCACTGCTTAATCTCAGTAGTGCTTAGAATAGTGACTGGCAAATATTAGGCTCTCAGTATCTGTTGAATAAAGAAATTCACAGCAGAAGTAAAATTAATGTTTCCTTATATATAGCAAGGTCTTCAATCTCACTGGTAAGCAGGGAAAAACAAGTTAAAATATGGAGACATAATTTTTTGCCCACTAGATTCAGGAGCTCTGATGGCACAGTATCTAAGGCATTTGACTGCTAAACAGAAGGCTGGCAGTTCAAACCCACCAGCCACTCCTTAGAAAGAAGACTGGGCAGTCTACTTCTGTAGAGATACTACCTCGGAAACCCAAGGAGGGGTCACTATGAGTCAGAATTGACTCCACAGCAGTGAGTTTAGTTTGGGGAGTTTGGGAAAAATAAAAGACTAACAAATGTTGAGGAAATGAAGAAAAATGTACTTTGATTTTATTGGTAAAATTATAAATTGGTAAGATCTTTTTGGAAGGCAACTTGGTATTACCTATTAAAATTTAAATGTGCATTTTTTTTAACCCAAGGAGTTCTACTCTTCCATTATTCACCATAAACACTTATAAGTGTCTTTTAGGGAGCAAGTACAATGATAGTCACATTAACACTGTTTGTAAGAGCAAAAAGTTAGAAATACTTAAATGAGTATCAACAGGTAAGTGTTAAATAGAGTATGGTGTAACCATTCTATGGGATGTTATAACAGGTAAATAAAAAATGTGGTAGATCTATATGTACTAACATGAAAAACTGCAAGGTATAATGTAGTATGAAAAAAAGCAAGTTTTACTATGATGTGTTACCAATATATATATTTTTTAATAGTCTAATGGATACCAAAACTGTAAAAGGTTGATGGGGAACTGGATATGTGCATGTTGCCAAAGTATTCCCACATATTTGTTAATGGCACAAGGTTAATATTTTTACAATGAAGGAATCAGGCAGCTATAACCTTAACCCAGTGACCAAAAGTAGCATTCATTACTAATAGTGAGATTATCAGGCATTATTGCCTCCTGAATAAAGCTGTGTTTCTATATGGACATATTATGTACAGAAACAGGAAAATTAAAGCCCATGATACTAATATCCTGGAGGAGAGGACTAGGATTGATCAAATGGATACAGAGAAGACAAACTAGTCTGAAAAATAGAAGCTTAACAGAATATATGGCTGGTGCACCAACCTTAACATACTCAACCGCTCTAGGAGAAAAATCACAGGCATAGGCAAAAACATTCAAGTCTTCTTCTAAAAGCGGGAATAAACAGTTCCCAACTCCACAGCCAGCTTCAAGTATAGTCAATTTCTGATCTTCAAACTGAGGAAGAGATGTCAAAGTTAAATACATTTGCAGAGTAAAGAAACAAACCAAACTAACAAGTCCAGACCTTAAGAGACACGGTCTCTGCTCTCATAGAGTGGTCAATAAACAAGTGAACTAATAATAAAAAGCAAATACTGGTACCTAATTTATCATCTAAATATTCAAACACTGAGTATGGTATAGAGGAAAAATAGCAAAATGGCTAACAAATCAGGCTCTGGGTCTAATTTGCCTGGATTCAAATCCCAACTCCTTCATTTGCCCCTACTTCCAGTCTGTTCTTGGGCAAATCACTTAAACAGCTTTGTGTCTCAATTTCATCTGCAAGCAGGGATAATTATATCCACTTCGCAGAGTTATTATAAAGCTCAAATTAGAGAACACTGGGAAAGTTCTTAGAAAAGGGCCATGGTAAGTGTTCATTAACACTGACCATTATTCTTAATCTGTCACTAAAGTCACTCAGTATGAATTTAATGTCTATAATTTTCACATTAACTTTAAAGCAATAGAAAATGCCCATTAAAGTTCCCTCTCCTGTGTATTATACGTCCCAGAAACTGCTGAAACTACTTGAGACCAAACAGTATGTTTCTCTCCCAAGGTACAATGCATTTTAATAAGCTTCGTAAATTCCCTCCTTCACATTCCTCATAGGAATGAAGTAAAGCATCCCTCTCTACACATTTTAAATGGAGAGTAGGTCAAATAAGGTGCAATATTAGCTTTACCTCCCTACATGATCTTAGCTCTTCAAACTCTCTGGTGGTCCAGTGTCTATCTTTGAAGAAATTAGTACTATTTCTTTTGTAAAAAAGGTCCCAGTTCTTCTGAGCTTCTTTTTCTAGTTTCTGCTGTTTAAAATCAGACACCAAAGCTTGGTCTCTTTTCAGTTTTTCCTCTTCTTCAGAGCTGAGAATCCTTGCTTGCAGCCCTTTCCTTTGCAAAGATGCCATCTCATAGGGGGACAGTCATGTATTTAGCACTGCTGAAGATTCTCCATCTCTGGACAGACTGAGAAATCCATGCTGGCACTGCAGACACAAGACCTCAGATGTGCTTCCCAAGGCCGCATTTGAGCCTCAGGCAGCATGGGGTGTTTCTGCAAGAAAAGCATAAGATTCCGGTTAGTGGTTCTAAAACAGTTAAGATGTTAGGTTCAATTCATCAAACATTTACTACAAAATGCTGACTCTACACAAAACTGCCTGCTAGAGGAGAGGTCACAAAGGAGTCTTCACAAGGCATCTATCGAGGATCCACTCCCTACCCTTCACCCTGGGCCTAGTTCCAACACCCTCAACAAAACAGGAATCCTTATCTCGCAGACTTGGAAAAGGATGACTTCACTTTGGTCTGGTCACTGACCACCCCAGTTAGTGCTTACTTTTCAGTGCTCCTTAGAACTCAAAAGAGATTAGGTTTAGGATACACTCAACACTATCATGGACTCATTAACATAACTAAGAAACCATTAACCCAAACAAAAATTACACCCACAGGCCAAAAAACCCACTAGGATCATTAGATTTCTCATAGCAACCCTCACAAGACTGAGTAGAACTGTCCCATAAGGTTTCTAAGGCTGTATGTTTAAGGAAGCTGACTGCCACTTCTTTCTCCCACAGAGCAGCTGGTACCTTCCAACCTATGTTTCAATGAACAGCAGAGCACTTAACTACTGTGCCACTAGGGCTCCTGCACAGGCATGTTGCTGTTGTTGTTATTTGCCATCGAGTCGGCCCGACTCATAGCGACCCCTCCTTGGGTTTCCAAGGCAGTATCACTACGGAAGTAGGAATGGCCAACCTTCCTTCCGAGGAGTGGCTGGTGGGTTTGAACCGCCAGCCTTCTGGTTAGCAGTCAAGTGCCTTAGGCACTATGCTACCAGGCATAGGGGTTAATATCCCAACATATATTTTTGGGGACATAATTCAACCTGCAACAAAGACCAAGACACAGTCCCTAATTTCATAAAGTTTACATTCAGTGGCTAGGGCAGTCTCATGCACCAAACTCTAATTCAAAGCATGATGAGTCAACTATTACAACAAATTTTTATAGTTTAGAAAAAAAAAAAAAAACGCCCCCAAAATGACAGAGAAACCTTGGGAGGGAAATGCTCATTAATTTTCAGTGTCCATGAAGGGAGTGACTTAAAAACAATCACAACAGCAAATGCTGCACGAACTGGAGGTGAATGGTCAATGGCCAGACCGAGGTGAACGCATCGTTTCTCAAGTCTGCAGGATTAACGATTCCGTTTTGTCGGAGGTGATGGAGGCAGGCCCGGATGGCCTGAGTCTCACTGCACTCATAAGAAGCGGCTGCACGAACCAGTGGGGGTGTCGCTTCACAGAGACTGAGGCCTTCGCACCCCCATCAGGGCGCTAAAGGGACCGAGAAACCAGTGACGCGTGGCGGAGGGTCCTTAGTGTCTCTCTGAGGACACTAAGGATAAACTGGTCCACTGAGGGCCCCGAGGGTCGGCAGAGAGCAGGCCATTATTGGCTGTCAGAACTGGATTAATGTACTCTGCCACGCTTTGGGATCCATCCATACCCGTTCCTAGGTTCACTTACAAGGGCAGAGCCTGGCGTACTTACCCCTCAACCAGACCCAGCCCTTGGAGGCAAAATTTAGGAGCAGCCGCGGGGAACCCCGAACTTGGACAAGACAGCCTCGCAGGCCTCGAATTGGGATTCTCCGAACGGAATTCTTAGCCATGCCACCGCCCTCGACACTTCCGCCACGAACCCAGAAGTCCCTCCTCGACGCCGGAAGTCCCGTGGCCTCACTTCCTCAGAGTCTTACCCCACCCAGACTCGAAGGAGGGGACTTGGTTCCCGCCCCTGGTGGGTGCCGGCTCGGCTCTGGGTGCGCTCCGGAGTGGTGTCCCGGGAGCATCGGTCTCCCGGACGCCGGCGCCGGAAGCTCGGGCCGCGGCCGCGCAAGAAGAGCGCCGGGCCGGGCGCGAGGCCCGCGCGGGGACATGAACGGGACCGCGAACCCACTGCTGGACCGCGAGGAGCACTGCCTCCGGCTCGGGGAGAGCTTCGAGAAGCGGCCGCGGGCCTCCTTCCACACTATTCGCTGTAAGTCAGTTCACCCCACGGTCCCCTTCGGCCGCCCCGGCTTCCCTTGCTAGCTTCGACTCCCTCCTCATTTCCCTAGGCCTCCCAAAGTCCAGGGACCCCTTGACTTCTCTCTTAACCCTAAATCATACGGGACCTCGGTTTTTTCTTTTTTTCAGCTCTCTCCTTCCAAACTAAACACTTCGTCACGTCCAACTATTCTTCTGCCTCATAACCCCAAACTCTTCTTCCGAACGTCATTGGCCCTTTTCTCTTTTTCTCTCTCCACCCAACCCTTAAGCCGAAACTCCCACCTCTTCGTTTTCGAAAAGCTGTGATCCCACGTCAAACCTCCGTTCTTCTCCCTCTAATCCACCTCCCCTTTTCTGTCTCCCACGAGGAGTCTCCACGTTTAAAGGATTACGCTTATTTGTTTATGACCCGTATCACTGCCCTCCTCCTCTCTCCATTCTCTTTGCCCCCGTTTCCTCGGCCTGCTTTCCTCGCGGGTCTTGATGTGACAACTCATTGCGCTTCGTCCCCACTTCAGCCAAAAGAGCCACATCCTCTCTGCGCCCCATCCGCGTTCCTACTCTTTGAGCTTTTCATGCCTAGTTTGACTTAGATACCTTTTGAGGTCACCAATACTACTGACTTTTCCTCTGTACCAAATGCTGTGTGGGTGAAGAATGAAATTAAAATTTATAAGCCTAGGATAAGTTAAAGCTTGATCTATGTTTGGAAACAGAAGAGAGCATAAGCATAAGGAATGTCAGAATAGTCATTATGCTGGACCTTCTTTTTCTACATGATTATAGACTCTGTTGAGGGAGGCTCACTTCCACTCTACGTCCTGGGTAAAGATCTGGCTGTTAGAATTGGCTGAGAGCATCCCGCTGTGATTCACAACCTTCTGGTTTCCCGTCCTGGTAGTGCTAACGTTGGTTAAGACTTGTTTTTGTCAGATGTGACTCAACACAAAGGAAGAGGGCGTGTTAGATGGTGAAGTTCCATCTGTGTGTGCTCAGTTGCCATGCCATTGTTATGCTTCTTACTGATAGCAGGTCCAGCCCCTTCAGAGAGGATATTAGGAAGATGATCAAAACATCATTTCCTGAACAGTTTACTAGGTTTGATGTTTTCATGGGATGAAGAGCAATGTGGGATTTAAATGGGATGGTTTGCCTATGTACCTGCTCTGCAGTTTGAGGCAGGTGTGGGATAAAATGGAGTACGATGGCTATTCGTGTTGTACTTCACCTGCAATTCAGAAAAATGGGCAGGATAACTTTTGGACATGGTTCAGTGATATTCTCTGAACATCTACAGTAGTATCTTTGTCAAAGCTGTGGAACTTGAGTGTGGCAAATCCTAATTTTGACAGTTATTATGTAAAATGAAATCAGCTTGTATGGTGCTGTAACCTGTCATGTTTTGTATGGGGCTTTACAAGAGCTTTAAAATGTTTTCCATATTTTCTGTTGCTTTTGATCCTCACAGCAGCCCTGCCAAAATGCCTTGTTATGGATAATACAACATTAATTTCCATCTATCACTTAGGAGAAAGGAGTGTCTTAGCTTACATATTAGAATACCATTTAAATTCTAGCTTTTATTTTTCCCAAAAAATAATCCAGTGAGGGGGATAGATAGGGGAGAGAAAAAGTATGTGGAGGAGTAGATGAAACAAGATTGTCCTTAAGTTGGTAATTATTGAATCTGGGTGAATGCCCATAAAGGTTCATTGTACTAGTTGCTCTACTTTTGTATATGTGAAATTTTCCATAATGAAATAGTATTTAAAAATTAAGTTATTTGTATCTGTCATTTGTCTGAGTAGTAATAGAAAATCCTTAAATAAGAATGTACTGGAATCCTGTGGTATAAGTAATTTAGTAGGTAAATGCTTTTTTCTTTCCCTTTAGATGATTTTAAGCCAGCATCTATAGATACTTCCTGTGAAGGAGAGCTTCAGGTTGGCAAAGGAGATGAAGTCACAATTACTCTCCCACATATTCCTGTAAGTTTACTCTACTGTTACTGCTTTTTAAATACAGGATCACAGTGAATCCTCATATTTTGTTATTGCAATTTAAATTTCCTACTGTTAAAAATTTTTAGATTTCTAAGCATAGGAATTTAGAAGGTGGGGGATGAGATTCCTGCTTCCCAGATGCTTATAAATGATTCTTGCTCCCACCCTATACCACCCTATTTGCTACAAAGTAGACAGGTTTTCTCTCTGGACACCTTTCTTGAGGAGCTCTGGTAGTGTACATAGTACCTAAGGCACTTGACTGCTAACCAGAAGGCTGGCGGTTCAAACCCACCAGCCACTCTTCAGAAGGAAGGTTGGGCAGTCTACTTCCGTAGTGATACTGCCTGGGAAACCTTGGGAAACCCAAGGAGGGGTCGCTATGAGTCAGGTCGGACTCAACAGCACATAACAACAACATAGTTTCTTCCAAGCAACTCTTTGAAGAGGAGTCCTAGGCCCGTGCTTATATATAGCAACAACAGTTTAGGAGTGCAGGGCAGCCAAGCCATGAGTTAGGGCATGCAGGAGCCAGGCTGACATCTTTCAGATGTTTGACAAGGGGTCAGGCCCAGGCTGATAGTCGCAGGCATGAACCAGAGGTTCAGAGCATTATGATAACTTAGAGATGAAGAACCGAGTTAAAAGCTGGATTAGAAACCCCTGCAAAGAAAGGCCTTTGTGAAACCCTGCCTGAAGGGTCAGACAAAATGTTCTTAATGAACATGTCTTATTGAATGCTATAGCCCTGTCCTAGAATATAATAAGTTCTTGGTAACTGGTGACAGAATGAAAAGGAAAGACTCTGGACAGGGAGACCTGGAAAGCTTTGTGCTGGGAGACAATAACCTGCCTGGCAATACAGTTTCGTTACTTGTTGCCTAGGGCAGGTTACATCACCTCCCTTTGGACCTTGGTTTCCCAAATGTAAATTGAAAGAGTTGCGTAAATGGTCC